TCATGACCCTTATTAATAAGGGAATTGATGCATTTTGTAGTGAAGATATCCTCAATAATCACATTAAAACTCCAATTTATCACTGCTGTTTTTCTCTGCACCGGCTTCCTCTGCATCATCTGTGGAACGCATTCACACCATCCCTTGTTCAGTGCATAATTTGCTAATGTGATGATGCTTGCGCAGCTTTAGCGTCAGTCTAAATACGAGGACATTTGTATCCTCATTAAGGCTACCTCTGTTGCTTGTCATCTGCGAAGCGGCGGTCATGGAAAACAGTTTTTGGCAGGTTATTTGTCATGTTTTCTGCTGGATCCGAGCAGACGCCTGTTTCGATTGCCTGTCGCCATCAAAACCTGAATTGAATAAATGAGGAAAAACAAACCAAATTATAGTGTTGGTCAGACTCGGGGCTTCCATTCTATAGTCTTAACACGGCGCTGTTCTCATTGGCTCGATTTGTGCACACTAAACAGAAAAGATTAGGGTCTAAATATTTCTGAGACAAATTCAAACTGGAATCAGGTCACCACTGTTTTTATCTCTCCGTTTTCTTACTGGTTTTACAGGAATCTCTTCCAGTGGCCAGTGCCTCGCTCACATTTATCTTTGTCCAACCTTGACGTTCAAGGTGAGATCAGGAGAAGAGTGTGTGTGTGCGTGTGCACAAGTGGGTTATTTCAGAGCTGCGCACCGATTGGCTGCTTGTCCTCAGGAGCAGAAGGATGGGATTGGTTTGCTGCCGTTCAGCAAACACAGGAACTGATCCACGGGGACCTGTGAGCTGTGAGGAATTCTGGGAAACTACAGGGAGGCCCGGCAATGGAAGAGATGCTGCACAGAGAGAAGGACGAGGCTGGGAGTGGACTCCTCTTTTCTGCAGCCAGTTGAAAATGTTACTGCCCAATTCAGTAATCACAAATCATTAACTGCTGCAGGATCCAAAGCTTTAGCTGCACGGATCGGAGTAACGTTAAACAAGCTGGAAACTTTAATATTATTCAATATTGTATTTACTCCAGTTATCTTTGTCTCATGTTGCATTTCTTTTGATGAGCCAAAGCATAAAAGTGTGGCAAAAAAAAAAAAAAAAAAACGACAGAAGAAATCTCTAAGGCGGCAAATACTTGTTCTCGTTGCACTGTGTGTCTGAGTTTGATTTTTGTTGTTCTGTTAATTTTAAAAAAAGCCCACCTTGTATATATGTCTTTTTTTAACTGCTGAGGAGCCAAATGCTCAGAGTCAAATCCCCTGTGTTCATTTGTGTTTTCTGCCAAAAACAACAACAAAAATAAATCAGAAAGACCAAACCAACAGGAAGCCTGTCTCCCAGCACTTTCTGACTTTATTTTCCTCCTCCTGCAGCTGCTTGCTGGTTCATGATGAAGACAACTTCTTCAAAATTGCAATTATATAAAAACATATCAGGCGAAGCCCCAAAACGGCTGGCAACTCCATGCTATCTGTGCTGCACACCTTACTACTTTTAGGCATGGATTAATACACAGTTGATGCTTCAAACACTAACGAGGCCGGTTGATTATAAAACGTAGCAGAGCAGCAACATCAGAAATGTTTCCAGGTTAAATACAAAACTATATGTTCTTTAGGTTTCTGAATAAAACAACAAAATGCCAACTTTAAAGCCAAACTAAGGGCAAAACCTGACTTGAAACCTTTTTTTTGCCTTATTATTTGTATTCCTTTCCAGCTCATAACGATAAATTACTGAGTAAATAACAGCTTTATGTGGATAAGTGAGTAATTCTGATGTGATTAAACATGTTCTAAAAATCCTCAACTCCCATCTGCCAAATTGGTTGCGTAAGGAAAAAGAAGCGTAGCAAATGCTACATCTATTTTAGTGACGGTGTAATCAGGCGGCCCCCTCACTACAGCGACGTTGGTTAAACGCGTCATTTTCTTTCTCGACTTACACGGCCACATGAAGGATCGAGCGAGGGGTCACAGGGAAAAAAAAGAGCGAAAAGAGGTCAGAGGTCAGCTTAAGGAGAGGAAACCCATGCAGGTTGGCATAAAGCGGATTTTCATCAATAAGCAGCCAAGAGAGCTGCTATCAACACCTCAGCGTGAAATGTTGAGCCCGTCTGGCGTCCAGCTTCCTGACGGACATCGAAAAGTGGTGTCTGTCACTTGTCCTACAGATGTCTCTGTAGGACAAATGAATCAATCCACCCTGAGACGCGCAGATGTACTTTTTTTGTTGTCGTGCCAAATCTGCCTCTGATAAATCCACTGATGTAAATAAATGGGGTTTTTTTAGAAATCACAAGCCGGATGAGCTGGAGGTAAAGAGGAGCAGTGTGTTAAACACATGCCTGCTCTCTCATTAGTAGTCCTTTCACACAGATTTTCAAATTGCATTTTTCCTTCGAGAACCAGAAACGGTACTGATGTGTGTTGGACCTGCAGACACAGATCACAGTCAGAGCAGCACCACTTTTCTTTTTTCTTTTTTAAATAGTTCAATTTAACATTCAAATTGTTCTTTTAAGATGTCACATCATCCTGTACTGGCTGGAAACAAATAATTTCACTTGTTTATCACTCGCTTTATCCTTAAAGCAGGAATGTTCAACTACGTTAAAGGATGCTAAACCAGCTGGTGCTAACATTACAGTGCTGCTCGTCTTTCTGCTCAGAGAGAGTAGAGGCTGGCTTTCCCATCGATCGCTAGCCGAGATCATCACCGTTCCTTAGCTGGTACGTTGTGTTTGAACAGAACAAAAAAAAAAAGAGAGAACCACAACTTCACCGATTGGACAAGTGGAAATTCTGCTGGAGGAATCCAAGTCAATGGCAGAAAGTTCAGACGGAGCAGAGAAGGCGGATGAGAATCGAGTAGGAAAAATCGACCTGCTCACCTTCCGTCTGCTTCCTTCTGACCCCAATGAAGACCACAAGCAACAACCGCAAGACTTACTTGATATATTAGTTTTCTCAACACCGCTGGAGCTTTGCAGAAATTCCTCAAAAAGTTTGGACAGGGATAAAAGACTGAAGCCTTATCATCACTGAAGTCACAATCTTTCCTCGGATTTAATTTACTCAGATCGCCTTATCACCCAGACAGCAACAGGTATGCTATTAAGCCGAGCGTTACTGCAGTCCAGTCAAATTTGTAACCCGAAATATCTGCCAAGAAGAATAACATCAGTAGCTCCTCGACTGCTGGTGTAATTAAACTGTCTTTCTCTCCTGTGGGTTCAAGTTTATTCTTCCAGACTCACGACGGTCAACGGTAAAGCGCCCAGTTCACGTATCGACTTCACGGCTCACGTCCCTCTCTCTCTTGAGCCACGTTGTTTTGTTCTGAGGCAGAACTTGAGACATCAAGTGCATCTAAAAAGCAAATGTTGAAAGAGATCATTTCGTATGAAGCATGTCTAAAACAAAGTGGGAGCAAAAAGTCATACATGAAGCAACGATTCTAGAGAAACCAGCTTCCAGGTGAGCATTTTCAGATGACCAGACCATTTGAGCATCAGACTAGTGTCAATTTTAGACGTGTTTAGAAAAATTAAACAAAAAAAGACATTTTTTGAAAAAAATTTGGTAAATCGACCACTGATTCAGTTCACATAAATGTTACTGTCTCTCCCAGGCATAGACATCCGAATGAAATGTCACATAAATCCTTTTTGATCTTTCAAGTTTTAAAAGGATTTGCTTCACCCACTGAGCTTTCCAGTAAGTGTGTAACTGGGATCAACTCAATTCAACGATATTCTGCAACTCGTGTAGAAACTTCTTCCAGAAGTTGTTTGCAGATGCTGATGTTTGTGGGCAGAACGGATCCGCCGACCCGAAGAGTCCACCATAGATCATAACTTGATATGCCATATTAAGCTATATTTTAGGAATGAAACTATTGCTGCTGATTTTATATGTGAACTAAACTCCACTGCATTTTCTTTCAGTTCAACTTTCTGAGGCCACGCTCTCTGTCTCTCCATGTTTCCCTTCGCTGTAGCAGTTTTCAACAACAAAAGCATCCATTAAAAAAGACCTTGGTCTGTGCGTCTGCAGTTAAATCCTGGTTTCTACAGAGAAAAATCTGTTTTCTTCTGACTCACTCCTGTGGGGAATTTTACCATTTCTCACCTCACTTAACAAGCTTTAATGTTAAAGCTTGCTGCTGAAGCGCCTATTTTCCACGTTGGATTTGATGGCTTTCAGTTTAGGAGCTGCAGGTTCTCATGGTCAACAACGTTTACTGACAAGATGGGTAAATAAAAAAAATAAAAATAAATAAAGATTAAAATCTTAAGCATTCATGAATAAAATAAAGCTTCCTCACGTTGTGCAAAAAGAAGAAGAAAAAAAATAGTTTGTTGTGGTCCTTATTGGAAGATGTTCCATTTTTAATAACATTTCTATTTTTCTTCTGCAGAAAGTTAAGGATTGGACTCTGCAGCAGAAAAGGAGAAAATGTACATTTTCCAGTTTTTAATTTCTGTCCTTTAAAAAAAAACACACACACTTTTTCCAAACGCATCTTCATAACTGGAGTGTTGTTTTATTGACACTAAAGACAGATTTCTCTGATAGCTCTCAAGTCTAGAAATCCTTTCTTTTATATGGCAAAATATTTATAGAGAGCCTTCTGGGGATCCACTGGACCTCCTGTTTCCAGCTCCAGCAGCAACAGACTTACATCTAACATGAAGCCATTTGATGCAACCTGAGGGTCAGTCGGAGTGGAGTGGCACAGCAGAGACCACCCAGCAAACCCACGCAGAAACCAGGAGGAAAGTAAGACGATCCCCTCACTATGACGCCTCCTCCGGACCCTGCGGAAAAACTGAGTCGGTTGACTGTAAATACAAAAAAGATGATGAACAACACGGTCTGTGTAACACCTTTCATATGTCCTGTTTCTATTTGTTGAGCGCGTGAGTGAAGGGTGGAGGGAGAGAGGGAGGGGGGTCAGACATGCGCAGTGCGGAGGCAGTGTGCAGCGGAGAGCGCGCGACTCTCTCCGGCTCCGACAGAGTCCCGGAGAGTCCCGGATACCTGAAGGATGACGCGCTGACGGACCGATGGCGGCTCGGCCGACGTGCGAGCGGAACCAGCGGGCTGGAGACGCTGCTCGGTTCGGGGTGGCTCAAAAGTGACCGAGCGGGCAGCCGGTTCAGTGAGAGAGAGCGGAGTTGAGCGCTTTGGACCAGCAGGACTCTACTTTCTCCATTCATCCATCCATCATCAGCTCCTCTTCATCCGGTGAGGCACCTTGCTCCTTCTTTCTCCTCCTCTCTCGCTCCACGTCTTTCCCTCTTTTCTTTTCTGAGTTGGTTGCTGTGAGCCGAGCCCTTGCTGCTTTATGAGCCCACAGCATGATACTGCCGTATTCTTGTCCAGATTATTTGTCAGTTCATTTAATCAAGTCATTTTTTCCCCCATTGGATAAATCTGCTGAAAGGGTTAGTCTGATGATGTGCTTCTTCTATCTTTTGAAGCAAAACAGTCCCTTCAATTTGTTTAAATGGTCAATTCTTGTGCTCATTGTACATTTATTTAGGTTTTTTAGTATTATCGGCGTAGTTTTGACATTTTATGAGAAAGTATGAGCAAAGGGAGCCTGTTCATATCAAAAGCTAAATGCAAAGTTGTTTTTCCTTCTTTTTTTTCTTTTCCTTTTTGGCTGCTATCGTTTTTTGCTGTAGTTTTTGCTGATTAAACAAAACTAATCTGTTTTGGCAGAATAACAAGAACTCACATTACCATTGTAGAGTGGCACATTTTTTTGTTTCCCAGAACTAACAAAATGTTTTGCGTCTATCCTGGAAACATGCCGTAAATATCCAAAAGTGAATGACATTGAGGTCACACTCTCACAACTTCAAGGTTAAAGGCAGCCCGTCCCCGTCCCGAGTCAGACGCACGCATATTTAGGCTTTTAAATACGACGGGGTCGTGTTGTGGGTTTGACCCTGCAGCCTGGGTTTTGTTTTCAACCCAGAAAATGAGCTAAAAGGTCAAACGTGAAGGGCGGGTTAAAAAAGGAACCAGCTGCCCAAAAAAATAGAAATGTAATGTTTGTGTTAAAACAAACGTTGTTCATCCATTGATAATTTTTTTTTAACACATTGAAAGGGATTGTTTCATCTGTCTGCAGCAGTTAGAGGGAAGGCATCTTGGTTGACCTTTCAGAGTGTGTTGACCATCACAGGGCAACACAGAAACATACGACGTAGATCATCGTACTATGAGCTTACAGTATCTCCGGTCGATTAGCGTCTAATTACAGCGGCCAATTAACCTGCAATGCATGGCTTTAGATAGTAGGAAGGAGGCCACTTTACCCTGAAAGCAACAGCAGATAGTTGTGTCTGAATGTTTTGTGTTTTTAATTATTTCTGCTTTTGAAGTGATAAGGAAGAGTTACATTACAGTCTAACAGATCACCCTGCCACACATTTCCAGTTTGTGCCATGCAGTTGGAGGTGCAGTCTCACAAAATGAAAAAAAAATAACAATTGCAATGTCAGCAGCCTTCATTATTCAGCCTTTCCAACATCTGCTTTTGGCTTTTGAAAGCTATAGACGAAAACTATAACTTTGCACGCAGCTCTCGCGCCGCTCACAGAGTACGCGCTGTACATTTGGGAAGCTTAAGACAAAATGTACAGGTTCCCAATATAAACTCGTCCACCAGGCAACTGGTGAACATAACATTCATCATCACGCTTCCTCGTAACACGTCAAACATTTGCGTATCCTGTCACTCGCCAGTCACCCAAACACGACGTTGCCACGGAACATTTGGTCTGCTGCTAACTTATTTAGCAACAGATGAGATGAATAAGTTAGCAACTACTATTTGGGAAGCGACTTCTTTAATGATCACGCAGCCCAGTGTGGACGTTTAAGCCCTAATTCACACTTCTTACTCCACTTCACTGCCTGTCAGAGTCATTTTATCCACCTGCACTCGCCCACTAGGATATGCAAGGGGGTGTCTGTCTATAATCACATAGCATTTGGGTTGAACAGATGGTCCAGCAGGGTTTTTGTGTGCTGCAGAATTAAGAAACTTTGGTCATTTGGAACATCTGGGTGGACAAATTGTCTTTTGTTTATTTAATTTTGAAAGATTTTTTTTTTCCGTCTTTAGGAAGTTAAAATAAAAATAAAGTTTTACGGTCAAAGCAAAGCATGAAGTATTTCCACCATGTAAATGCTACGACTGAAAGTTTGGTGTAATTTAGCTCGTTTTAAGAATATGACAAATTTCACCGCAATTGCAAGTGAACTTTGACTGAAACTCTAAAACGCTGCACTTTCTTTATTCTCTTTAGCTTTTAACTAGCAGACACACAAAGGTCGTTACGATTAGAAAATCAAACGCAAATGGACTTTGCAATATTACATCAACTCTTCTTTGAAAATTGTGCAATAAGATGTTGCATGTTTGAGGTTTTCACTAAATATAAAAGGGTCTTCTCATCTCATTTCCATTCTCATTATACAGCAGATGGAATAACTCTTTGGTGAATCCATTAAACATGAGCAGAAATGTTCATGGAGATGTAATTTATTCTCATCAATGATTCTAACATGTCTCTTGTGTGTATTGAACGCACTTTATTATTGATATGAAGTCCAGTACTATGATTCCCTCCCATGAACACACACACACTTTCAAAGCTGGCAAACTAGTCCTTTCCTTTCCTTTCGTTTTTCTCTCTCCTCTCCTCTCCTCTCCTCTCCTCTCCTCTCCTCTCCTCTCCTCTCCTCTCCTCTCCTCTCCTCTCCTCTCCTCTCCTCTCCTCTCCTCTCCTCTCCTCTCCTCTCCTCTCCTCTCCTCTCCTCTCCTCTCCTCTCCTCTCCTCTCCTCTCCTCTCTGCTCTCCTCTCTTTTCCTCTCCTATCTTCTCTCCTCTACTCTTTTCCTTTCCCCTTCATTTCCTTTACTTTTATTTCCTTTTCTTCTTTTTCAAATACATTGAAGTCTTTCCTTCACTGCACCATCTCGTCCTCTTTGTTTCTCGCCTATTGCCTTCCTTCCTCAGCTCTATATTTTTTCTCTCACTTTTCTTCTACAGTTTTCCTCCTTTGTGTCCCATGTGAAACAAACCGGACATCAATCACTCTGTCCTTTTTACCCTTCCTACCTTTCCTTTTGTTCCCTCCATCACTCCATGCTGCCTTCTGCGCTTCAGTCTTTTTTCCTGCTGTGATGCTGCTCTCTGATTGGATGTTCAGACCTTTTCACAGTTTGTGTCAGACTTTCCTTTTTCTAATTAGCACTTTTCACCTTGATTAAAGGAGAAGTCCTCTCTAGCAGAAAGAGAAAAGGGGAACCTTTAGTTTTGGGCAGGAATAAGTTAAAGATCAATGGTGCTGTTATAAATAAGTTATAAGAGACTAGTTCTTCTCTTTCTGCTGATTTATTTTGTAAGTCCATGTTTCCAAAACTTCTAAAATTAAATTGTGTTTACACAACGGCGGAACAAAAAGTCAAATAGCGATCAGAACAATGTAGTTTGCATTCCACGCGATGAAACTTTGTGAACTCTCTGATAAAGTGATGTGTTTTTGTAACCCTTTACTTGTACAGAGGTGTGCATTTGAGCCTTATGCAACTTTGCCAACGTCTTAAAGCGATGCACGACGAGCAGACTCTGTTTTAACTTGCCTATAATCTGAAGAGGTACAGCAGAACTTTACCAAAATTACTTTAAATTGTTGATTTAAAAGGCCAGTACAAAATGTCCCCCTATGAAGCAACCGAAGCAATAATAAAGATATAAATGCACGTTCTTGAGTCTTTTCATAGGTTGTCAAATTGCGTAATGTCAGCAAGTTTTAGATGTGTCCCTTATTCAACACAACCAGTTTAGATACACAAACCATTACCAGGCCTCTGCAGAATTTTATGTCAACTGCAAAAAGAAAGCCCATGCAAGACTAAGGAAAAGAAAATATCAAAATGAATGACGCTGCAATATCTCAGAGCCAGTGTTGTTCTAAGGTAGGGCTTTGGCTGGATAAAACACACTGTTTTTGCTTTTAATACCGCAGATTAATCCGCCTGTCGAATTACAAAAACAACTGGCTGCTAGATAAATAAATAAATCGGCCATTAAGCTGTTGGTGAGTGGTAGTGCTCTGCAAGAGGGCATTATTTTATGTCATCCCAACCTGCTGATAGACAGTATTAAATTGTTGCCAGACAATAATACCCAAATGTTAGAGATTAACCTCATAAGAGACTTTTTCCTCAACCTTTAGGTCCATTTTTAACTGACAGACTGCACATAAAAGGTCTAAAATCCCAATGAGAAGCATTTACAGTTTAACAGTATAGGTAGATATGTCCTTCGGTAATACACTTGCTCTTCTTTTTTATTTTTTCGCCTTCACATAAATCAATTTTTATCTATTTATAGCTTATGACAGCATTCCTACACACAGTGTCTGCATGTGTGTTGTTGTGTGCCAGGACTCCAACAGTGGGCAGATTGAGGAGCAGCATGTTGTTACGTCAGGGCAGATTAGTTTGGAAACATGCAGGGAGCACACACACACGCACGCACACACACACACATGCACGCATAGATGCAAAAATAAAATAAAATCACACACACAAACTGTTGTTTCTGTTCTGAAGCTACTGATTTTGAGTGTCTGTATGTGTGGACAGACAGCAGCAGGCAGGTGTAATGAGCTCAGCTAACAACTCCCTGCTTGTCTTGTTTGAACAGACACATCTGTCTTTAATTGAAAGCAATATTTCACACAGTCGCAGTGCTTTTTCGTTTCTTTTCCTTCTTTCATTTCGGACCCAGCGAGATAACTAGCACTTAGCTGTTAGCCTAGCATAGCTTTTGGAAATGCAGGGGTTTGCTGTTAGCTTGATATAGCAATCAAAAGCATGGGGTTTATTTTGGCATGGCAATCAGAAGCATAAAAGTTAGCTTAGCATATTAATCTTAAAATAATCTGTGTAGCTGTTGGTTTAGCTGTTAGCCTAACATATTGATCAGAAACATGTGGCTTAGCTTTGCAAGATTATCAGGAAAAAAAATGACTTTAAAGGGGGAAATTATTATTCCGCTCATCGAAAACATGCTTGAAGTCTTGCTTTGACTCATTTATGCATAAGGAATCCTTGAATCTCCTGTTGCAAACATTCATGTTTGCCCTCCTGCTCCTGCGATGCGCCGCCTATTTACCCAAAGCTCCGTTTTGGAGCTTCAGTCCCCAGCTGACCTCCCG